TTTGGGTAGTTTTGAAATGGAGAAGACAAACCAAGTATTTATACCCAAGAAGCCAACGTTTGAACATGAATGACGTTCGAATGTGTATAGAAGGAATTTAAAAAGATGGTTCGAACTTTAAACTGTCGTTCGAATTGCAATTGTTCCTAGTACTTTTAATGTCCTGCAAAGACCAAAGTACTGTGAGCTCCTAGCGTTTAAATGTTGGTGTGGCATTCGAACGTTAGGTCCTAGTTCAAACTTTAATCAGGCGTTTGAACATTTGGTGCTCCTAGTACTTTTGTTGTCCTGCAGAGGCCAAAGTACTATAAGCAGCCAACGTTCGAACGTTAATTGGCGTTCGAACACCAAATTAAAAATCACAATTTTATGCATATTTATATACACATTAAAAAAAATGCTATATACACAAATTGAACTTGAAAAATCATGGCGTCTGAGGATAAGTCCCTAACAAGAATATAACTTCATTGGTATTTTTGGACATTCCTTACTTGACCCACATTTTTATTTCAAATAAATTTTGTACAATTAACAAATAGATATTTACACTTTTTACAAAAAAATTCGGACCTTTGACTTTCATCCCAAAAACATTCTTTTTCTAGTTTTGTCAAGAAACATTCTAATCTGAGTCTTGTCTTCTCTCCATGTCATTCAAACAATTAGTGACTCTTCTAATTTTTTGTTACAAAAAATGTGTAAGTACAGTATCGAAATAGCATGGCGTGCTATTATAATCCTTACTCTGCCCATTCACTATCCAGTCTAATTGATCGAGTGCGCGACCTAAAATTGATTCAGAACACTAGTTATATTCCTTTATGTGAAAGATTCTACCACATTGTTTACATGCACCAAGTCTTTTGGCAAGACGACGTTTAGCAAAAGTGCTTCTGCCACACAGTAATTTCGCTTGTTCTTCTCGGATTTCAATTTTTCTCACCAATCTTGTCTTTCTCATTATCACATAATGAACATCAGATGGAAAAGTAAAATGCTTAAACTGAACCAAAAAATCTTACTAACCATGCTTGTTACGCTTGAGACACTCTATCTGGTTCTTTTACGTCTGTCAGTTACAAAGACGATTGAAGCTGCTTTAAAGACATGATTATCAAAAAAAATTTTGTTTTTATATATTCTATAAAGACTGTATAAATACAAAATACAAGACAGAATATGCAATATGATCAAGAAATTTTATTTTTTTTTAAAGCACAAAATATGAACTTTAGTTCTCACCCCCAACCTAAACTCAACATTGTCTCCAATGTTTCGAAATTACTAGTATATGCAAAGTGAAGTTAGGCTTGAAAGTAGAAATATATTCATCTGTCAATGCCTAGAAACAAAATACACAAATTAATCATCTTTACAAAGATCAGGGTTTCGGCTAGGATGGAAACCTTTGTGCATGGGTGTAAACAAAAGCAGGACACCTATGAGCAAGTATAGAATTAAAATGCAAAACATGAAACAAATGATTGTATCAATGGAGTGTGTGGCCATGGAGTTGCAGAAAGTGAGTCATTTGAAGAGAAAAAGGGAATAAGAAGAAGAAAAGAAGAACGGTGGATGAGGAAAAAGGGGCTAGGGTTGGAGGCCGTATAAAGGTGTCCTTTCGAGTCGGGTTGGGTTAGATTTTTCGTCCTGACCCATCTTGTTCATCCAACTTAATCCCCTCCTCACCTATTTGAAAAATCTGACTCAGGGTTAGAGTACCCACCATATATAGCAGACCCAGAATGTCAGTGGGTATAGGAGTACTGCCCAGACTCATCCATTAATTGCATCCCCACGGGAGTAGAACATTCACCCATCAACTCGAAAGTTAAAAATGTCAAGTTGACTATCTCTTGCCTGAGTAACACAGTGTAAGAAATGGTAGTGGTGGTTAGGCACCCCCGGTCTGACTAATGTCTATTATAGCATTGATGTCCTCCTTCTCCACATACAAAGCAACACTAGTCATGTTGGGGTTGTCGACTACTACATTAACCAAAGAAATAACAAGTTCATTGTTCCCAATTTTCAGTCCGACAAATGTATTCATGTTTAGTCCTGATCTTAGTGTAAATGGATATCTACATGTCAACCTCAACTTGTAATGCGACATGTCCAATCCCATTACAGTGTAAATTTTACTCAACTCCGATAATTTTATACCACTATTTATAAAAATTTCAACTTTGGGAGGAGAATTGAAGAATAAACCCTCTAATCCATATTTCATTCATCCGCCCCAATATAACAAAATAGTAACTTGTTTTCCCGCCATTTTAAATAAATTACGTATTGAAATAAGTACTGAATTCACAAGAACTTGGGGATGGATAGAAAAGGTTAATACTTGAGGAAAAACAGATTCATAGTTAAGCAAAGTCCCATGGAATTTAACGCATGCGACATACAAGAATTGATAAAATAAGAAACCTTGGAGTTGGAAGTGTAGAGCTAGCAAACTAAGAAACCTGGAGATCAATCCAATACCAGGAAGTGTGATAAAATAATTCCCAAAAGAGGGTAGATTTTAACATGTTATCAAAAATTCAATTTGTTATCAGGAAGGCCAACAATGTAGTCAATCTTTTTGCTAACAAGGAAGTAATTGATTAATGTTTATAACTTTATTGCAATAATCAAGACTTTCTAACTCAAGAATAACAGTACTTTCTAACTTTATCGCAATAATCAAGATGTTTATTTTGAGAAAAATGGTGTTGCTTGAAGACTGAGAGACATAACTACAATGCTTATATTGAGAGCGAGAGAGAGAGAGAAATGCTTTTGCAAAATGGTGTTGCTCGGAAATTTATGGAAATTTTATGGAACTTTAAACTTATACCAAATCTCAAAAAAATTATGAAAATTTTAAGTTACACAATTTTAATTTAAAGTTAATCTTAATTATTATTATATTCTTTTAAATTAAAAATTCAACTTCCTGTAGAAATATTAGATAGATTTAATTGTGATTACAAAATAATAAATAAAATAAGAATAATTATTTGAGTCTCAGTAGTCATCAGCAATGTAAACCCACCAAAACTCCAATACCCCACCACAACTCCAACTAATTTACAATGCATCTATGAAAAAGAAATTACAACCAATAACATTTTCAAGCAAAATTTACATCTAATTTACAACTATTTTACAACTAATACAATTTTCAAAGAAAAAAATTTACAAGTGATCTATGAATAAAATGATGTTGTTAGTAGAGAGATATACAGAGAGTGAGAAAGATAGAATGAGAAAGGGATAGACAGTGAGATAGAGAGATACATAGAGTGGGAGAGATATAATAAGGAAGACCTACTCGGCTTAGATGAGTGCTGGTTGAAGTAGCTGAGGCAGTGGAGGAAGAGTGGTGGTTGTGGCAACTCCGATGGACTTCACTCAGTTGGGTTCCTGTCGATTGGGGTTTTCGAATTGAAGGGTGGTGGAGTTTATTGGGTTTCGATTGAAGGGTGGGTTTCAGACGGTGGGTTGGGTTTGGTGGAGATTTCGCAGGTGGTGGTGGTGGTGGATTGGAGATCTCGTAGGGGTGATCAGATTTCAGGTTAGGGCTCAGAAAGGAAAAGAGGAAAAATGAGGGAGAAGGAAAGAAGAGGGAAAATGGTTTAATTTAATATTAAAAATGTCAATCCAAATAACATTTTTATAAAGACACCTCGGTTAAATTGACGTTTGCATNTTAATATTAAAAATGTCAATCCAAATAACATTTTTATAAAGACACCTCGGTTAAATTGACGTTTGCATTGTAAGCGAAGATTTAGGTCATCTTAAAAAAGTTTTTCCAACTAACATTTTAGCTGTAAAAATATCATTTCAATTGATGTTTTTAAAAGTATATGGATTTGAAAAATACTTTTAAAACTCGCTTGCTTTTGGGTATAAACTCCCAAAACCGCCTGATTTTGTGTAAAAGCTCGAGACAACTGCCCAGATTGGCCGTTGATGGGGTGTGACTTGATCGCGGCTTAGGTGTTTCGATGTCAGGATTGCTAAGGTGCAAGAGTCAAAAACAAGTGTGAAGTAGGGAAAAAACAAAGATTTTATTAACTTCATCAGTGTATGAACTTTATTGTGCATTTTCCTAAATTTATTGAATTTTATCAACATGCGTCTGTATGGATGCAATTTATATCCTATGTAATTATAGGATAATGCTACGTTTACTAATAAATTAAATTAGAAAAGAGACCAAAAGATGTGAAAAGGATAAACAAACGAACAGGCTTTTACTTGTATAAGCTCCGAAAAATTTAGACTTTAGCAAAGTATATGTTAAAATGGAACAAAATATGAATTATAAATAAATTAAAAGTGAGACTAAAAATATCAAAATATCTGTCTCACATTATTTTTTCTTTTTTTTTGTTTTATTGTTTGGTCAACCTTTTTTATGTTTTATTGTTTAGTCAATCTCACACAATCACAATTTAAGTGCAACGATATTGTTATTTTTCAGCCCAACAAAAAAAATTACATCGATTTGGATTACATTTATTAACTAAATCAATTAGCATAGTTGATTAGCAATGAATTTAAATATTAGATGTAGTTTACTAACAATCTAATAATAATGATGCATTTGACCAGCAAAAATTGATCCAACAAATATTTCTCATCCAACAAATTTGCGGGTGAAATCGAATTTGATCTAAAAATGATAAATATTGAAATTGTGGGCTGGGCTGGGCCGCTGATTCCTGAAGTTTCCACAACGTTCCTGGAAAGAACCTCCAGAAATTTCCACCTTCTTCCCACTTTATCNGATTCCTGAAGTTTCCACAACGTTCCTGGAAAGAACCTCCAGAAATTTCCACCTTCTTCCCACTTTATCCAGAAACATCTAGTTCTGTCCTCCCAACCAACCTATAAATCATCCACATGTGGCAATCAATACCATCAAACGCCTACGAAAACAAGGTCTGAGTACAAAATCTTACGCCCACTTCCAAATTACGCCCAATCAAGAAGAGAAAATGGATATCAGGCTGATGGGTTTCGACAACCCCATCTTCCACACCCTCCAACACATGATGGACGGCGCCGACGCCGACGTCGACAAGTCCAGCGGCCCTACACGCGCCTATGTCCGTGACGCGAAAGCAATGGCAGCAACACCGGCAGACGTGATAGAGTATCCCAAGTCCTATGCCTTCATAATTGACATGCCCGGGTTGAAGAGTGGGGACATCAAGGTTCAGGTTGAGGACGACAACGTGTTGGTTATCAGTGGAGAGAGAAAGAGGGAGGAGGATAAAGAAGGCTCAAAGTTTGTGAGGATGGAGAGGAGGATTGGAAAGTTCATGAGGAAGTTTGTGCTGCCTGAGAATGCTAACACTGACGCCATCTCTGCGGTTTGTCAGGATGGTGTGTTGAATGTTACTGTTGAGAAGTTGCCTCCTCCGGAGCCCAAGAAGCCCAAGACCATTGAGGTCAAGATCGCTTGAGATCTTTCACAGCTATAATCTCTGTTTCTTATTACAGCTCTGTTATTCCAGTGGTTAGTCGTAATAATGTGGTTTTTGAGTCGGATGTTTTTTATGGTGTGTTTATGTTTTCTGGGTTTTTGTGTTTTGGGATCAATAGCTTTTTGGTGTGAAAAGCTGATGATCAGTAGTAGTGAAATGTTATCAATGAAATGAATGGAATATGTTTTTGAAAGCTTGATGTCTCTTATGTATATGTAACTTCAGTTTGTTCCATGAAATTGTTTGACCTTTGGGAAGATGTGGAGAGGAAAATACTGACATAATGTGAGCATTCGGATATATATTATCTTGTTCCCTTCCTTGTCCGCAATGAATTGTTGGGGGTTTTTTGGTTGATAGTGAAGAAATGTTATAATGTGAGACTTCAGTTGTAAGTATTAAAATTCTGGAATTAATAAGGTTTTTAAATTACGATACCCAAATCAAGTGAAAATTGATTAGGTCCTACAACTCCCTCCCTAGACTCGTGCATATGATGCTCGGTTATGGATTAACTTCAATTGAAAATTCCCAAATCTACCCAACGTTAACTCTAAAGCCCAATGTGGCTGTAGGGCTTTGAGAGTAATTATTCATTTATTTGTCGTTGTAGACAAGGTGGGTTCTTCTGTGTGGAGCAATTTACTTTGAAAAATTGATCTGTGTACCTTTCGGAATTCCAATGGAAAATTTGTTATTCGGAATAAATCTCTATTCATGGTTATGGCAGGGATGTATAATTGCTCCCATTGGTTTTATGTGATTTTCAGTAAATGGCTTTCTGTTACGTAGGCTGATGACCAACTAATGATTAAATAGTGGTTTGTTATATAACATTGTGTTATTTTAATTCTTCACGGGTGTTTTACTTGATTCCACTCAAGGGGTTATTTTGTTCCTCCTATTTAGTCCCTTGCGTTTCTAAAATTGCCCCTTGATTGTAATCAAAATCAAATGATTATCTTCTTTAGTCACTTTAAACGTCATTTTCAATTAGATCAAAGTGATATAAATTGAATATTTGAAAGATCAAACTAGCATTATTGAGAGCTTGAAGACCAAACTAACCCAGAGCACATTATTTGGAGACTACATTTTATGTTAATGTTATATCAATGAAACATCTAAATTTTTTACCATTGATTCATTCTCTGGCCATTTTTAGCATTGACTATCCCATGACAGATTTCTAGAAACGCAGAAATACCCATTGAGATCTAGGCTTTCACTTAATCAGTGCCCCGGGAGATAACAAAAAATCATTTGAATCAAGTCATTTAAGTTCATAACTACAACCAGCAATCATTTGCAAACCAGGTTCTGTGGTCAGAGATGAGAAAAGACCAGCTAGGACACTACTCATCTCTTATTCGACCACTAAACAAACTAGTGCATGTTGGGTCTTTGGCTTGTTGAAGCAAGCTACTTAGTTGGAGTTGTTGCCTGTCTCAGAAATTTCTTTTTCTGGACTTCCAACTGTTTCGGATATTAAACTAATGGCTAGAAGAAAACGTATTCCTCTGCTGCTTATATCCAGATGTATAATGGTTGGGAAGAAAGAAAACTACTTGGCATCTGCCATTAGCACCAAAGAAAGCCAGATTAAAAATATCACTTTCAAAATCTTCAAACATTCAGTATCATACACAGTTTCACTCCAGGGAAATGGATTAATCAAGGAGATCAACGAATAATATCCCACACACAGCATTGAGAAATTCTGAGTCCAAAGGCATAATTCAACTTTTGCACCTTGCCCGTTTCTGCACACCTAACTGGGAATAAAAGAGCATCCTCGACAATTTGGTAAAGAGGAAGTTTACAGGTCTCTGTCTCCATTTAAATTTCTCTCTGCAGAAAACACTCGAAGTGCTTTGTCCAGTTCTTATTGGTTTTCTGACATGACAATTATCCTTCCTGACAAACAAAGCAATGAAGAAGCCTTCTTTGTCCTCAGCTTGATCAGTCCGGAGCAAATGTTGGGCTGAAAGTCCAGGTAAAATATCCATTAATCATTAAAGCTTTCCTCTAATGATGGAAACGAATGACTATTGGCCACCTTACTGTATTTTATGGTGATATTTTGAAAACAGAGAAATGAAATAAGTCAGGTGAGGGATGAAAGAACGATCAGTTACAATAAACTTCCAACATCATTCTGCCCTAAAAAACTAATTTCCAGTGAAGTTGGAAACAAGATTTGGTTCAAACCATCACTGAGGACAACATTGAAGTCCAAGAGTACATAGAATGCATAAAACATCAATAGATGCTATTTTGCTGTGCAGATGCACACTTAAGAAACAGAAAACCATTTTTTATGGCTAAATGTCAATATTTCAGAACAGCACTTACAGCCCTCAACAACTGGGAGACCACGCCTGGGCCACTGGGGAAAGGGTGTTGCGAGTTGAAATCCATAAGATGCAGCAAGAGGTAGAACAGATTTGATAACATCTTCATTCTCAGTTTGGTGGATGGAGCATGTGCTGTAAACAACTCTCTCAACTGCTGGAACTACAAAGGATGTGGAAGGATCACGATTTTTGCTTAAATTACCCTTATCCAACAAGAATATGGTGCATTATAAGTTGCATTAAAAAAATAATACTCAAAGACCGAGGGTGTAATCTTAAAGAAGAATGTTAGTAATTTCGATATTTTTATTTTTTTTTTTAATTTTGTTAGGATTGGAATTTAATTAAGATTTAAGAGATTCCCGTTTCTTTATGTAGAATACACACAAACTTGAGACTCATGCATTGGACTGCCCTTTAACTCTAAAAGATGGTATTATTGAATTAATGAAAAGTTCTCTAATAGCAATCTTATCTATACTACTAATAAAAGTGGTTTAAGTGAAAAACTTTTGATTTCCTTATTTATCCTTCAATAATTTTATAATGTCTACTTTATCCTTTTTAAAGTCGCTTAAGAGAAAAACTTTTGATTTTCTTATTTATCCTTAAAAAATTATATGTCTACTTTATTCTTTTTTGAGGAATTTTTTATTTTTTTATTAGTTGAATTAATTCAACTAATAAATTCATTGTCTGACTTTTGATTATCTTCTTTTCAAACAATATAAATTTGATCCAATCAACATCTAAGAAACCTTCAACTTTAAGATGTTCATTAGTTCGATATAACAACCCAAGGCCAAGAGCACGTTTGAAATATCGCAGAATACGAGTACCTGTCTCCCAATGTGGTACTCTACGACATCCCATAAACTGACTTACCATACTAACTGCACAAAAAATATCTGGTCAAGTAATAGTGAGATAATTGAGTTTTTTAACCAACTTGCAATACCGAACCAGATTCTCAAACAGTGCATCATCCATCAACAGTTTCTGATTCGGATTCATATGAACATCACTTGGTTTACCACCCAACAAACATGTTTCCTCTAGCATGTCAAATATATATTTTCTCTAGGATAAACAAATACCCTGTTTAGATCGAGTCACCTCAATACCTAAGAAATACCGAGTTTTTCCAAATCCGTATTATGAAATCAATCTTGCAGGAAGGTTTTAAACTTCTTGGCAATCCCCTCAGGATCATTTTCAATAATCACAATATCATCTACATAAACCACCAGTAGAACATATCCCACATCCGTCTGTCTATGAAACACAGAATAGTCAGTCTGATATCAAAGAAGACCAAACTCTAAAACTGCATCTGAAAACTTACCAAACTATGGCCTCGATAACTACTTCAAACCATATAAATTTCTTTAACCGACATATACTCTTACCGTACTCCTCCTAAGCAATAAATTCAGGTGGCTGCTCTATGTATACCTTCTCAACCTAATCACCATGTAAGAAGGCATTCTTGACATCCAACTGAAACAAGAGCTAATCAAGATTAGAAGCCAAAGAAATCAAGATATGAACAAAGGAGATTTTGGTAACAGAAGAGAGTCTCCTCATAATCAACACTATAGATCTAAGTAAAGCCCTTTGTAACAAGACGGGCTTTGAGAAATTCCACAGAACCATCCAGATGAAATTTAACAGTATATACCCAACGACAACCAACAGTTTGTTTACCAGGAGGTAAAAGAACAAGATCTCAAATCCCATTATAATATAAGGCATCCTTCTCCTTCTCCATAACTTTCCTCCAACCCGGATCAGATAACGCATCTTATAAGTACTTAGAGATAGATATAATAAATATTTGAGAGGTAAAACAAGAGAAGACAAGAGACAAGGCATTTATATGAAACAAAATGAGCAATGGGATGATTAGTAACACACAAACGAGTACCTTTTCGAAGAGTAATAATAGGTAAAGAGTCTAAATTACCTGATGTACCAGGATCACAAGAAGGCATGGAAGACGATACAGGCACCTCAGTCGATGGTTGAGGATGACAAGAGTGAAAACATCTAGGGAGCTTAAAAACAAACCCTAGACTCCCTAAATCCAAAAAGCCATAAATCTACGTTCATTAAACTTCTACTTAAACTTTTGATTTACATGAGATAGAAAGATTATGTTTCTACCCACAATAGAAGAAGGATCTTAAGAGGATTCAAAGGGTGGATCATGGAGTTTGGTTGCTATAGGGGATTTGTCTCTAATTGGTTTAATTAAATAATTAGTTGAATTAGGTTTTGAATTGGGTATAAAAATTTACCATGTCGAGGACATTCCATACAGCACTCTCAATTGGTAACAAAGCTTGGTACCCCCGAGAGATCTTGACCTAGAATATTTTGATTATTTGAGTTTCCTCATAACTCCAATTGTCATTGATGGACACTCAATGTGAAGGAGAGCGAATTTGAAATAACCTTTGTTTGACTGAACCAACAACACCTATTGGAAGGCTAGGATGAGAGTGTTCCTCGAGTCTAGCCAAGAGTGTGTGTGGTTGGCCACCCACATCAGATGGAAAACACCCACCGAGGCCCGTGAAACCATTAAACCGTTCAACAAATGGACTAAGGACAACCATG